AGGCGGCGCCTGCGCCTCTTAGGGCCCAGAAGAGGTCTGGGTACGAGGTTGGTGAGGCGGTTACCACGCTGCTGTTGTGGAGGACCACGGTCGCGGAGACAAGTTGGTCGAGCGTCAGGCCGTGCAGGCGGGAGGACATGCCATAACCTCCGTGGAGAGTGAGACCGCTTACACCGACGCTGATGGGTATTAGTACATATATGATGTTGTTGATAGGGAAGGATGCCTACCCAGGACATGTTCCATGACTGATGGCTTGCTTGCCTTGGTCGTAAAGAGCCAGAGCAATGTTGCCCAGTCTACCGCCAGCTCCTACAACAGCTGTGTGTGCTTCTTGGTCAACAGTCACACTGTTGAAGCGGCGCATGTCGACAATCAGATGTCCATCTTCGCCTCCAAGACCATGTGATCCATAGCTGTGGCCTCCGCACTTTGGAGTGACTTGGACACCACTCTCAACTCCGCAGGATACGGCATCTTGAACATGCTTGACTGTCTGTGGTACAACGTAGGAAGCCGGCTTGAATGGTAAACGAAGATTGAAGGGCTTGACTGCCTGAGTATAGTTCTTGGTGCCTGCAGCATATACAGGAACCTGGCGAGACTCAAGGCATTCGCTCAATGTAGAATTCGCAGCGGTAGTGCAAGAAAAGAGAGTGCAGGCTGCAAACAGCCATGTGTAGTATTCTTTCATCATTCTGGAAGTCGGAAAGTGGCTTGGCTGCCCAGGAAAAATTCATCCGCTAACGTCCTCGCGATACTTATGGATTGCTTGAATCCTAGAGGTGGATTCTGACGATGAGATACATATTGACCCAATACACTACGGCTGAAGACCCAGAAAACATATCTGACCAGGAGACATGACTGCGATGAAGGGATGAGAATGCCCAGAGTAGAAACCTTGCTCTTTCCTTGGATCCTTCGTCGGAATCGTGGGGATTCCAAGAGGATTTGGTACTGGTAATAACAGATCTTGCCTCTATCGCACGACAACTTCCAAGCTACGGCTATACCAAGAAGCGGTGGCTTCAGCTTGATTTACCTCTTGGCAAAGATTGGTCGCAGAAAGATTAAGAGATGCCACCTCGTCTATACCCACACACGTGTCCAGGTGCGCTGCAGCCGCATCCACGTACCGACATAGGGCAGCGGCGTGGCGGCTGCATTCCCGGTATAAGGCCTGGCCAAGAGATCTTAACATGCGCGTGCCCGAGATGAAAGACCGAAATGCAAGGCTACTGCAATTTCGCCATGTTGATCAACCTGGGGTCGGCAACCGGCTGAAACGTTGTACCCCTGCTCGAAACATGGCTGTAGATTGCTATATATTGTCCGACGTGCGGCCTTTAACCGGCTTGGACAATCGCATACTCACCGAGGCTGAAGTGGCACCCTCGCTTTCAGCAAAATGCATGATGAGGTCGGTTGTTTAGTCCAAGATGGTGTAGTCAGGTGTTTCATCGTCGTAGCTCCGAAATGTCGAGTGCGGGCGCGTGACGCAAGGCGGTCTGGTGGAAATGTCAAAGAACACACGTCGAACATACAAAACGATGCTACTTCCCTGTGCTTTAAAGTCAGTAACAGATACATCCTGACTCGCCATCCTCAATCATCATGGTCCATTCGCATTCACTCCTTCTACCTCTGTTCGGCACTGCCGCAAGTGCAGCAAACTTGTGGGCGACGCACTACTCCGGCACCATCAACTACCTGTCGTTCAACAGCAACGCCTTGACCCTCAGTAGTTCGGCCTCGACTGGCAACAAGCTGCCTAGTTGGATCACGTATGACAGTGCTGGAAAGGCGCTCTATATTCCAGATGAGGTCTTCCAGGGCCAAGGAGGCGGAAACTTGGTATCCTTCTCCACGGGTGCGAACGGCAACGTGACTTCAATCGGAAAGGGTTCTACACCTCAGGGTGTGGTTGCGACAACGCTCTATGGTGGTCCGGATGGAAGAAGCTTCATCGCGAACGCCCACTAGTAAGTCAGCACCCTTGAGTAGACGAGATTATCGCTAACCAACGGAAGCCAAACTTCACAGTTGACGACCTTCAAGCTGCCATTGACTGGCGGACAGCCGCTCCAAACAATCAAGTACACTGGTAAAAGTGTCAACCCTTACCGACAAGAAGCTCCCCACCCGCATCATGCTTTTGTGGACCCGTCTGGGGACTTCCTGATCGTACCTGATCTCGGAACCGATAAGATCAGGATCAACAAGATCGACCAGACAACTGGCAATCTTACAGAGTGCGGTGCTGCTTTGCCGCCACCTGGAACAGGACCAAGACACGGCGCCTTCTGGGCACCGGCAGGAGCGAACTCGCGCGTTCGCCGGGCTGCAGACGGCACAGTACTGTTCATCGCCAACGAGCTCTCCAACAGCGTGTCGGCATGGGCGGTGTCATACCCCGCATCGGGAGGCTGCATGTCTCTGACCCTGAAGCAGACGCTCACACCGTACCAAGGCAATGCCACCGCCGTTTCCGGTACCAAGGTCGGTGAGATCAAGGTCAAGGGAAACTTCGTTTACACCAGCAACCGAAACGACAAGAAATTCAAGCCCAACGACTCAATCACCCAATTCAGCATCTCTCCTAACGGGAGCCTGACATGGACTGCCCTCACATCGTCCTACGGCACATACCCGCGTACTTTCGACATCAACAAGGCCGGTGACTTCGTCGCTATTGGCGATCAAACCACTTCGAACGTGGCTATTGTACCAAGAGACCCGGCAACAGGCAAGTTGGGAGAGCGCGTTGCGGACCTTAGGATCGGGGCTGCCGGCATTCCGGAGAACGAGGATGGTCTCAGCGCGGTTGTCTGGGCTGAGTAGGCGTCCGCTTGTTGATCATTGGGACTTCTTGTACATACAATAATTTTCGTATAAATCATAGGGTTGCGCAGGCTGATTGCGATTCCACGATGACGCATTCGTCTGCGATGGAGATGTGAAGAGGGAAGAGCGCAGAGCGCGTGAAGCTTGAGTGTTGCCAAGACGCTAACCCGGGTGCCATTTCCTCACGCGTCAAGACTCACATCCATGCCTCCTTGTGCATCCAAAACACGTCTTACTAGCTGCCCAATACGACTCTGCTATCAGGTTCATCACGAAGAAAATCAAATATCCGCAGTACTCACTCGCAATACCAACTTCTAGCAACATCTCATCGAAAGTCCAGTCACACCTGCCGTCCATCAAAATGAAGACTGACAATTACCTTAACCTCTGCCTCGAGCAGGCTGCCAAGTCGCCTTTGCGTTACCGCCATGGAGCCATCATAGTTCGTGGCGGTAAAGTCATTGGCCAGGGCTACAATGATCATCGCTCTGGCTTCGACGGTGGTGCCCTGAAGACCGGGCGCCTTCCACTGCGCTCGACCAAGCGAGAGTTAGGTGGGCCGGAGGATCATGTGAACAGGACGTTTATGCCCTTTGAAAGCATGGGCGGGGGAGGAAAGCTCGCCAACACTCCTTTATCTATGCATAGTGAGATGATGGCGATCCACTCAGCTCTCTCGGCTTCTAGCACGCTGGCTTCTAGCGCGGTGTCCTCCGAAAAACCGTGCTTTGAACTATCGGGTGATTCTAAACGAAAGTCACGACTACGAAGGGAAGCAATCAACTCCTATGTCAAAGCCATCTGCGAGGCCGCACTGGCCCAGTCCACCGCGGCCTCTGGCAGTGCCTAGTCCGGTGTTCAAGAGTGGCGATTTGAATCCTCTGCATCTGGATCGTGCGAGACTGAACCCTGTGTTTCACGACCAGGAGAAGAACGAGAACGTGGCCTTGTCGAAAATGAACAGTACGGAGAAACACCGCCTGAAGAACGGGAAGAATCATCATCATCATCATCATCACAACGTTGGCAACAAGTACAACAATGGGCAACACAAACACAGTGGTCGACAGCATGCGCGTAGAAAGACCATCGCAGCTCCATGCTATAATCAGTCTCCAACTTCGAGCGCTTCTGAAGCATCTTCGTCGCTGGGAGTGTCATCCAGTAATCGTGATAAAGCAGGAAAGGTGCGTTGTCCAAGCTCTGTTATCACACATGCTGACGGCCATAGAATGAAAGACAGAATCCCCCAACCGCAAGGAGTCAGCCAATGCTCATGCCGAAGGGACAGACTGGACAGAGTTCTCGCAATATTAAAGACAGGACCAAGAGCCCACGTTTGAATGGAGCCGATCTGTACGTAGTAAGACTGGGCTGGCAATGTGCGCCGAAGGTGTGCTGCGAAGAGCCAGACGAAGACGCCGCGACGCTACTTCCATCGCGCCCTGCCACAGGTTCATTGCACGACGAGCTCACCAGTCCAGAGCCGGCGAGGCCAGCACGCACCAAGCATCCGCCGTCTCCAGCAAAGGACGGGAAGCGACCGACCGTCCTAGCTTCCCGACCCTGCTACCGATGCATATCCTATATGGCGTCTGTGGGCATCAAACGCGTTTTCTGGACCGATGACAAGGGAAGCTGGGAGGGCGCAAAGGTGCGTGATCTGGTCGATGCGCTTGACAACATGGGGTCACAGTCGCCTGCTGATGCGTCGGTGGCACTTAACAGCGTCTTCGTCACAAAGCACGAAGTGCTGATGCTGCGCAGGATAATGGGGGACAGCTAAACTAGGATGCATCGTATACTATGACGACAGAATACAGCATTAAGAGCCTCATGTGTAACCTTCAGTGCGTTTGTTCAGGCAGTAGACATACCAATATCACCTCTAGCGCTGTGATCACGGTGAGAGAAGGACAAATAGACTTGCAGGTACTTTCCGAATAAGGTTATGCGGTGAGAGATTTCGCCACTGCGACTGTTTGCACGGGAGACGCCAGGGTGATTACGTGCTGGTATCGTGCAGAGCCTCTCTCTACATAAAGCACACGTCTCCCCCACCAAGATTCTCACAACACAACACAACACAACACAACACAACACAACACAACACAACACAACACAACTCAGTAAAAATCAATTTCAGCACGATGGTCCACCACGTCCAGTTTGTCGATAGCTTTGCCGACCTTCCTTCCACTGCTCCAGCCAATCACCCCCACATCATCGATCTCACTACCTTCAAGGAGAACGACGGCGGGGTCACCACCGACATCAAGATCCAAGACGCCATCGTTACAACTCTTCATAAAATCTCCAAGAATACTCTCACCAAGTTCTTCCATCCCACCAAGCTCTTCCACATGGACTTTGAATCTAAGACCGATCGCTACTACAATCGTATCATTGTCAAGAAGAGAGGCAACGAAGTTCTGGTAAGTGACAGTTGGGAATGGCGTATAGGAATCCATGACACTAACGAAACTACTCATAGGTGGGCCAGTACGCCAAAGTTCAGGATTGGCTGGAGTTCGATAATCTCCTCCGTTGCTCTATTGATGCGACCGGAGCCTGGAAGATCACCTACGCAGCCTACCGCGACTACTTCTCCGTCGAAATGATCGGCTTCTTCATGTGGGAGAATGTCTGGGCAGGAAACAGGGTCAATGTCGGTGGTCACTTGGCGGCTCTCCGCTTCGAGACTACTGAAGGCCAGCCGGAGCGAGCAATGTTGGCCACGCAGGTTGCTGATCACCTGCTGGCAGGTCATTACTGGGACTCTACTCGCTGGACCAGGGAGTTCCATTGGGAGTAAGTCATACTGTGATCAGTCAAGCGAGGAAGCGGGAAGGATACTATGATGGACTTCTAAATAGTGCGAGCTTCTCCTGGCTCTTACATGACTCCAGAGTCTCATATGTCACTAATTTACTTTGAAAGTCATCTTCATGATGTGTCTTCTTCTCCAACTCTCATCTACTGACCCAGTCCAAACTACGAAAGGAGATTTAATGAACGAGCACGATTACTTCACCTCTAGTCATGAGAACATATCTGCCTTTTTCGCACGGCCTACTAATTTCCCAGTCCACGCGCCGCACATCAATTTTTCTCTATGATTAACCAAAAGTGGTGTATCCTCGTTCACCTTGACTTGCGCGCACTGTCACCGCCGTTTGCTCTCCCCTTGTGGTCCAAGCTTTTGGTATGAAATCAAAACTTTGGACGAAGTCTTGCTCCTCACACAACACACATCAACCTCACAAGCCAAACACGATGGTACTTGCTATTAGCTGCGACCGCAATGGCGCCTGGTCCATCGACACCGACTATCTTCCTGTGCAGTTCCTATGCGTCCATGAGCGTTTGCCTGCGAACGCACCTTCCGACCATGCCCACGTTATCGATATGACTTTCTACGAGCCTTCCCTGCCCTCTATAGGGGTACAGTGCGATGTCAAAATCCAAGACGCAGTCGCCACTCTGCTCTTCAACATCTCTAAGGCAACCTTGGATCAATTCCTTGACAGTCAGACTACATCGTTCAAGTTTCTCTGGTCATTCAAGAGGGAGCATGTCGAGAATCAGATGATCGTTTGGAGGCAGGGTGCTCAAGTTCTTGTAAGTGATCCTATCAAGATACATGAGTCTCAACATAATGCTTACTAGGTACTTGGATTCTAGGTCGGCCAGTTCGTAGAGTACCCCGAGGATGATGAATTGGAATGGGACAACCTTGTTCGTTGCCGTATCAACTATGACGGCTCTTGGGACCTTGCATCCGCCACGTTTGGTAGATACACTCGCCTTGGGCTTCACCACGCATGGGCAAAATCATTCCTCCCACGTTACACCCGAATGGGCATTGAGCAAGACAAGAAGAAGGGGGAAGAGCAATCCGCGCGGATCTTGGGTGATTACATCCTGAGCAACGAGTGCTGGATCGCCAAAGCGGAGTCCAAGTGGAACATTGAGATCAGCATGGCCCGCTGATGCATCGCCATATTCATGAAGCCTGCTGTCTTATATACTGAACATCGGATTCCGCGATCCATGTATCCGTACAAGGAAGAAGATTTGAAAGACTGTTTATTCATGCGAGCCCCTTCTCGCACGAAATACTAGGGTAGTCGACATAAATCAGAGCTTTCTTTCAGGAACCTATCAACAACTTAAATGTGTATTGCGACAAGCTATGGTTGAGCAATACTAAGCAATAGCTTTGTTTCTAACATGCATAGTATCCGAAGTCGCATTTCAATCGTGGTCGCTCTTTCATCTCACCTGCCCTTTGTCAATGCGCGAACAAGACCGTGCATATTGGTTGTTTCTGTCCTGGAACACCATCACTTGCTCTAGACATTATTGTTATTTTCACCTATTAACTACTACAGCTATGTGCGATAATCGGTATGTCGTCTCTTTCCTCACCGTCGCGCCTTCCTTCAGCCCTCACCGACCTCGCCCGCTAGCGCTGCTAGTGTGACCAGCATGGCAAACGCCCGCACACTTCACGTATTGCAGCTTCTTCGCCCCTCATCTTTCATCACTACCCGTTGAACTTCACGCTCACCATTGATCTTTCCTAGATCTCATCGCTCACCAGAAGCTAGCGCCTCTAGTTGTTGTACTCATATATCTTGTACCATGCCGGTGACTACGAGATTCAAACGCTTGCAGCTACAACCTTCTGACGTTGACATCAATCTCGAACAAGACGCAAAACATCACTCACAATCTGTCAACCGCACCGCTACAATGGCTACACACCACGACAGCACTCCGGTGGAGATTGGCGTCGTCAGCAGTGACTTCGCTGCCACCACCGATATGGACATTTGTGCCAACTCTCCCGGGAAGAGTGATTCTGGCAAGAGCGACAGCAGCACTCTCTCGTACACCGATGACTTCGAGACACTTCCTTCAAGCGGTCCTACTAGCCATGCCCACATCCTCGATCTAGACGAGTATGCCGCATTCATGAAGGAAGATGGCGCACTCAAGCTACAAGATGCCGTTGTCACCGCTCTTTTCAACATCTCGGCTGAGACCCTCAAGGCGTTTGTCAGCCCTACTGTCAACACGTTCAAGGTTGTATTCGGCAAGAAGGACGTCCAGCTAGTCATCTGGCGCAAGGGTTTAGAGGTCTTCGTGAGTCATCGCATACACCTCCAAGCAGACAGCCGCTAACAACCCTCTAGATTGGCACCTTCGAACACCACACTTCGATGAAAGCGTACCGCTTCGAGCACGTCGCGGGTTTCCTCATCGGTTACGATGGCTCTTGGCACCTGAAGGTTACGGCAAGCAACGCCTACTCCGCTTCAAAGTGGCCAGATGTCTGGGCAGGCAAATTCGAGTGCCATGGCGGCGTTGCTAAGATGACCATCGAGACCGAAGAGATGGAGATGGCAAAGCGCGCCTCGGCATTGGCGACTGCAATGATCGGTGGCAGATATTGGGAGTTGAAGACGGATGTTAAGATGACTTGATGAGAAGCCGGCATCATCGGCCGAGATCAGTCGGAGTTGTTTGGAAAGATATAATCTGGAATTTATTTGGCGCGTAATATACGATAACCCTCGACCTGCAGGCCTTATGAGAAGGTAGCGAGCGACTGCGGTATTGCCACGACAGGTTTTGTGATATGAAGGAGCTTCACTACTATATAGTCAGCTCGAGCCATTCTGAGCGGAAGATGAGATCTAATAAACAACTATACATGTACCAACAATCTTTCTTTGTGCTTGTAATCATGCCGTGAAGACCCTCCGAGCTGCCTTCACACCACACTGCCGTCTCCAAAGCGCTCTTCCACCGCCCTGCGAGAGCTTGATATTCCATATCTCCGCATAATAATTACCCACCCAGCCAACACCTTAATCACAAACCTCCTCTAACAGCCCACTCCTCCATCAAACTCCCCACTCTCAGAGCCCATAGTCCAACGGTAAGACACCCACATCTCAAACAGCGCAGGGCTGCCATCGCATCGTCTCAGCGTGCGAACGAACAAGGCTGAGAGACCGTCTGAGCTTCCGCCAATTGAATTTCAAATCAATCGGGCTTTGTCCCCAGTACACAGCCTAATTATATGAGCTTCGCCAAGTGAAAGCCTCTTACAGTTGTCGAATCCAAATTCCGCCTCCGCCAAAGATGACCGATAGCACACAGCCTTGCCGAGATGGTGGGGGATCCGCGTTCAAGTCGCGGTGGGCTCATTACTTTTTGCTAGATCTTTGTGTTGAGCGCTGTGGGTTTACCGTCTTTTTTGCTGTCATGGAGGGATAAATAGGAGCGGTGGCGTGGCGGGCGAGTGAGTTCGTCGACCGGAGGATCCTACTTGGCGTTCAATCTCATCATGACCATTAAAGAGCGGATAGCAATGCGATTCATTGTATCCAACAACAGTACCTAAAAATAACATGCAAGTCGCGAGCGTATCCAATCCGCTCAAACGATCAACGTGGTGTATCTAACAGCATGTCTATCCCGAACTCCACTCATGAACGCCGGTCGTCTAATGCATATGCCAATGCGAGTAAGCAAGCTTAACGCGTGTAATCAACGAATCACCAACTCCCAGGTCCAAAGGTTTCGCCTTTGGGTACTTCTTTGTATGGACAGGCTTGCCAGTCACAACCCTATCGATAATGTTAGCTTTCGTATCCGACCAAATCCAGCTTGTATACGATTCGCTTACCTGTTTGTAAACCTCCGTACCCCACCACTTGAAGTTACTCATCCAGCCGGGGTACACAATGCCAAAGAAGATGACAACAACACCAAACGCGAGCCCAGAGTCCAAGGCCGCGCTAAGCATCATATTGTACTTCTTCCACCACGCGTTCCTCCGGTTGCGGATCTCATAGTTGAAGATGTAGCACACAATCGCCCAAACGGAGAAGTTGAGTCCGGTGGCCGGTGGAATCCAGCTCAAGCTACCGAACACCACTGCGAGGTTGACTTTACTGAGTATGGACTTGCGGCTGCCGCGGGCGAGGTACCAGAGTATGACGGGTGCGATAGCGCCGATGGGGAAAGCCCAGATCAAGTGTTGGTAGAGTGCGCCGGGGCCGAAGAACTTCCCTGGTCCGACGACACCCCAGAGGATACTTCCGTTGAAGTGAACGCGGGCGATGGGGCAGTTGAAGCCGTTGATGGCCGAGGGTGTGCAGATACCAGGGATGTTGTTTAACATCCAGTTTAGCACGCCGATCTGTGTTAGACTGGAGATGATGGTGACGGAGAGTTGGAGCTTGAAGAGGATTCTAGGTGGGATCTTCATGTAGTGGCCGAGCTTGAGATCGGAGGCGAACTTGAGACCTTGGGTGGCTGAGATGTAGCCAAAGGTTGTGAAGACCATGTTTGCGACGGGTCGACCGGGGAATACAACACCGCAGATGAGTTGGCAGATGAGGTAGATGCTGCTTTGTTGGTTTGTGATGGCCATGACGATGCCGATGGGAACGAAGAGGACTGCGCCGATGCCAAGTGCTAGCAAGAGGCCGTACCAGGGTAGATGGACGGGGTAGTACTCGACGACGAACATGCCAACTGCGGCCATACTGATGCCAGTCAAAAGGTACCAAGTTATCGGCACGTCCTCGTATTTGCGCATGAGTCGATTGTGCACATCTTCTGCAGATAGCAAGTCTTCCACGTCTGGATCTGAAGTCGTACTGGGCCTGTGTCGCAACATTGCAGGGGAAGTTGGTTGGCTGTTGTTGTCGGTACCATTCACAAGTGGCTGGTAGTCAGCTGCTGATTCCTTCCGGATCTCAGCCCAAGAGCGACGCCATTGCCTCCAGATATCCTTCCCGTACCAAAGGCCAGTGTGCGAAAGCAGAGCTGTAAGACCGGCGAACTGTAGGGCGTAGCTCAATACGTATGTAATTGGGAGGTAGACGCGGCTGTATTGCTTGTACGCTTCTTCGTCAAAGAGGAAGTTCTCGGTCAAGATCTTGCTGACGTCGTACGGCTTGCCGCGATTATCCCATACAGCGGATGATAGGATGGGCATATAGGAAGAGTAGAGGACGTTCTTGTAGTCTACAAGCTGTCAGCATAAGTAGTCAAACCTCCTGAACTACTTACACATGATAGGCGCTGCGATCCACATCACGCCTACAAGGCCTCCAAGAATGTTCATAGCAGCCCAGAATGGCGTAATCAACGGGGAGCCAATGTATGCGATTTGCGCCCAATCGAAAGTCACTGGGAACAATCCAAGACCAGATGAGATTCCGAACTGCACAGATTAGCTTTGTCTCAATCCAAAATGACTATAAACATACCAGGTTGGCAACAACAACGCTCTTTGGCGCGAACCAGGTGATGACATTGAAATAACTCAATGCTGGGAATAGGAGACCAGGTAGGAAGTAGAACGCAACGGATCCTAGGAATATGCGCGAGAAGAACTTGCGTGGAGCGATGGTCCAGCCATCGGCAGGCTTGTTCTCATCTTTATGTAACGCGGTGAACATGGCGGTAGATACGAGTGTGCTCGGCCAGATCATGCCGCTGGGTCGGACCAGGTAACGTCTGGTGATACCGGCGAGGGAGTAGCCAAGTATTTGTGTGGAGAGGATAAGCAATACTTGGTACATGATGCCAAGGTCTTGCTTGTAGAACTTTACTTGCTCAACGATGACCTTGGGTTGTCAGCATACCATACATGGCTGCACAGATGATACTTACATCTGTCGCAAAGGCAAAGCCGAAGGATACATTGCTACTGACATATACGCAGCAGTGTTCCTTTTCATTCCAACGGCCTTGGCCTAGCCAGAGCCGTAACCGGCGTTTCCAAGTGGCTTTTGCCTGTGGAGGATGCGATGTTGTTTGAGAGCAACCATCGACAAAGGTTTCTTCAGGATCGTCGTGTCGTTTGAAGAGTTGGTCCCAAAGCAGACCGAGAGGGTGGACGAGTAGTAGTGCAATAATAGGAGTAAGACTGACGCTAGGGTATCGTAGGGAAAAGAACAAGTTGGTTGAAGAACCGGCAATGGAAAACAGAATCGATAGGAACCACATGCGCGGGGTATCAATGGATAGGGAGAGGTCGTCGGTAGCAGCGACGGATGCCCTCACTTGAGCGTAGGGCGAATTATCGGACGGGCTACCCTTCATATCGTGTAAATCGTCGTCCTCGGAGGATTCATTATCGTCTAGCGTACTGCTCGATGAGGTTGAGTTGTCAAACAGTGGCGCGCCAGCGGTAGAAGGATCAAGACCGCTTGCGTTGAACCTAGCTTCAAAGTCCTGGCCACTAGAGGCTACACCGAGCGTCGTGCTGCTACGACTGGCGTCACCCGTCCTGCGACGTGACTTGGTAGCGCCTGGAAGGATTGGCTCACTCCGTGTCGAATCATTTTGGTGGTGATCCGAAAGTAGTGAGGGTTCACTATGCGAAAGTCTGCTCTTTCCTTTTTTCTTTCTTGAGTTTTTAATCACGTTATTTTCATCAGACTCCTCTGGACTGGAGGAAAGAATAGGTAGGCCGCCATATGAACCTGAGGTTGGGGTCAGCACGTGTAGCGAATGAGGTTCTGTGCGCCGTGTGCATCGTTGCTCCTGTGCACCCGTCCAAGGCCGAGGGGCGACTGACGACCATGGCGCTTTACAAGGAAGAATAGTTTGCGTACCTGTTCCCTGCGCCGGGCTCGATCTCACCAAGAGAGGTACTCTTGACATTGCTGTCTTGACGGATCGTGTAGGAGTCTCGGGGCGGCCAGCGGGCGAATCAAGATCGTCATCAGAAGGGGTTTCGGACGTGGCTATGTTCCTTGCTTTCTTTGCTTTGTCAGGCAGAGGCTGCAACTCGTAGCTGCCTGGCGAGACGGGAGGACGGTCGTGTCGCGTGTTTCCAGAAGGATGGGCAGGCGAGAGAGCAAGCGACGAAGATGACCCGCACCCGTCCTCGTTAGCCATATGTATGGGTGGGTGCCCGGGTGTGGCCAGGGGCGCGTGTACAAGTGCTCCGTTTGTCGCGCCAAAGCGGCCTCGCGCGACGTCGGAATCAGATGATCAGATAAAACCACCGGCAGCCATGTGTTGGGCCTCACACTTTTCGATGATCTGATTAGATGGAAGCGCGGGAAGCGGTCCAGAATTAGGTCAATGATGGAATACTGCTTGAGTCATCCAATGGCGAGTGCAGTGTCTTCACGGTAAGCGGTTAGATCCGGGCGACGATGTGGAGTTCCCAGGAAAAAAGCCTCGCACGCTCCCGCGCGCGCGAGCCGCCTGCATACCATCACACGCCTGCATGCTTCAAAATCCCGGCACCCTTACACACCAAGACTGATTGACATCTGCACGTCCGAGCGAACAGAGCCGCAGCGTTTGCATTCGGAGTTTTACATATTTCTACGGGTTCCCAACGCTCACCGTGACGTCACCTCGTTCACGTCAACGTGACCGGGTATCCCCACGTGGTTTTCGGCTTTGCGACCAGCGGTGAGGCCCTCAACCATCGCAATAGCGC